TATATCTTTTATATCTTTTTATTTCTTACAAAAATAAAACCAGTAGAACCCCTACTCAGGTGAGGTTTCCCAAAATGGTCTCTTGATTTATTACAATGGTCTCCAAATTGCATTTTCATTAGCTGTAAAATGAAAGGTTTTCCTGTTTTTCAAAGCAAACGAATAAAACAACTGTATTGTTTTTTAAATGGATGTGGAATAATCAGGAGCCTTAATTTTAAYCTAGTAAGAATTGAGGAATCTGAGGATACTAATGAACATCGAATCAAGTTTTATTAAGATTATCTCTTCTTTTTTCCTCTTGCTGCTGACTTTTTCATTGGATAGAGTTGTATTCAGTTAGATTACTTTGGTTAGATTTAGTTAGATTCAGTTACGGAAGAAGCTGATTTCCGTGCTGTCGTGTCTGGTTTGATATTCATGTTTATGTTATGGCTGAATATTTTATCTCAGTATTAAATGTAATTAATCCATATAAAACTTCTTAGTTAGTAAACTATGCTGTAATCATATAGGCATAAGATACCAGGTTATACTGCAGATGATGGAACATAAAACATTGCACTAATGGTCCTTATCAYACACTTTTAGAAATATGTAACAGAAAATGTAAGATATCTGTCTTTATTAGTGTCAATATATGGTTCTTTATATAAAAAGTAGCAGGTGTGGGAGGAGGAAAAAGGAATGAAAGTTATTGCAAAGTGAGCATTTGTACAAGACTGAATCTCTTTGGATGTGTGTGAATACTGTATTTAAAGTCATATTTGACATTTTCATAGAATGATGCATGCATTTCCCTTCTTGTAAATTGCATTTTGCATGCTGAGTCCACTAGTCATTGAGTAGAATGAATTATTTTAATGTTCTCCACATTGATCTCCACAATTTCCACATTGATCACATTTACAGAGCAAGCTATGATGTCCATTAAGTTCTTGAAAGGTTAGCTGAGCATTTTCAGATATGCTAAGGATTTTAGATATTTTGGAAAAAAAAAAAAACTCTGAAGTCTGCAAGTCTTTTTTTTTTTTTCTTTATTTTGTTTTTTTAATGTTTGCTTGCTTTCAAATGATGGTTGGAACCTTAGGATGCGATATTTCCATCTGCAAAGATTTTCTCTTAAATATTTCTGATGAGAAAAATTCTTTTTTAACAAACTGCTAAGATGATATACTTGGTTTCCTAGAAGGTTATTTTATTTTCTTCAGTAACCATGGACCTTTATTTCTTGTTTAAACACTGATGAAATATTTTTGCTATTCTTACTTTTTATACTTAATAAAATAAAAAGTGTGCAAACCATTATAAATTAACTCTTTCATTCATGCAATAAATACTCATGAGTACTGTGTGGGGTTATATGACTAATTTCCTGACCAGTAGATGTTTTGTAATGGCAACCTTTTTAAAGGCACCCTTTTCTGCACAACTCTGATGTAAAATATAGTAGTGAATTTATTTTCTTAAAGAGACTGTATTACCAATAAGCTAGAAAAAAAAAAAAAAAAAAGGAGAGAGAAAAGATAAGTAACATAAGCAAGTGGTACATTATGGAACTATTTTTCATCTAACATCAGCAATTGGAAAGTTAAATGTCTCAAGACAGCCAGCTGCCTAGACTCATTCTAAAATGTGTGGTAGTGACCTTAGGATGGTGTTTAAAATGGCAAGATGTGTTGGCCTCTGAATGCACCARTCTTTCTGCACAGTGGAAGAATGTTGGATGGCAAAGGGCTGAAGGCAGGATCAGTGGGGCCACAGCAGTACTGAGCGCTGCAGCAACTGCTGCTGTACAGCACTTGACTGTAACTGAAACGCACAACTTGGGAGAAYTGAAGTATCAGAGAAAATGAAAACGGCGTCTATTACTTTGACTAACCCCAAAGAAAGCTTAGGCTGAGAAAGGGGAGGAATAAATATTAATCAAACAAAATTCTATAAAGTGAAAAGAAAATGGTGGCCCTAACAGTATGACTGTAAGTACTAAAAAAGAGTATAAACATTACATAACTACATTTAAAAGGAATGATTGAAAACCCTTCCAAAAGGAGGATTTGATTGATTTAGAGAATTATGTGATACAATTACTAATGATAAAACTGAAGTATAGTATAGGACTGAAGTTTCTTACAGTCCTATGTTCATGGTGATATAAGGTTTTTTTTTTATGTTTAATGTGAAGAGGAATCATCTCTGCTCCATTCTTATCAAAATAATGTGACTTCTTAAATGCTAAATCTATTGGGTAGTGAACTTGACGGTTGCAATTCCTTTTCATATTTTGAAGATTCAGTCTTATACCCAGCAATTTATTTTGGAGCATGCCCAACTACTAAACTGTAAATTACRTGCTAATCTGCACCTGAAATAGTCATTCTAGAGTTCATAAATAAAGTTTCAACTGATAAAAGAATAAAACACTACGCAACAGATTTTTTTAATCGAAAGATTACAGCATTTGTGTGGGAGACAGAAATCCTGAGCTCTAGTTTGTGCCCCCTAGACAGCTTAAAGATGTTATCAATTGATTGTTCAACATGGAATACACAGGCAATCTCTGGAGTAGGGAATAGAGCTGAGGAGCTGAGGAGTTCTGCCTCCAGGAAAATGTCTAACGTTTTTATAGTTATTATTACTACTGTTATTACTGTTATCTATATGATGTTGCCCTACTCACTAAAGCTGTGGATAAGCACATTAAAAGAGACATKAAAATGGAGGTGGTTTCTATTTTTGTCCAATTTGCATCTCTACATTCCTACTGTAAAACTTGAATCGCGAAGATTCACAAATGGTCCTTACCCATATATAACCTTAGAATAGSGCAGACTTTGTGGGATTTCTCATTATATTCTGACACATATCCAARACAAAGAAAATAAAGAGCTGCTGTCTGCCAGATGAATCATATGAACAGTGTGTGTGAGACATTTGGAACATAACAAATGTCAAAATGTGAAGGCCTCACTTTGTGGGCCAAGAAAGCGAGGCCAAACCCATCTGCAGAGCCGTGGGTCCTATTGGAGAGACACTTAGCTTGCTTGGTGGTTGTATCATACCCCACAGAGCTGCCTACTGTCAGAGCCTTGCAATCCACACTCTGGTCAGGCCTATACTGGTGTCTCACCACAGTGTTGCCATTGAGGACCACCCCACTGGGACAGTGAAGCATGTGGAACGCTTCCTGGGGGAAGGAGGGTCAGAAGCAACACTTGCAGTCTCCTTTTGAAGACATAGCACACAGTGCTTGTGTCTCTGAACCCTAACAGCAAAACGAAGTGAGGCTTGGAGAGAGCAGAAGCCAAACCAGCTTGGATGAGGACACCTGTTTCCATAGATTTTGGCTCAGAATTACAATGCCTGGGAGGACTAAGGTGCCAGAAGTCAAGCCAGAGATGCCAGGATAGAATATTCCTTCTGTGTTGTATATGCTCTGCCTATTTCCCCTGATGAAGATGCCAAGTTCAGCCATTTTTTTTTCTGAAAAATAAAAATTAATAATTTTTAGAAATGTTTTTGAACATTCTGAACAGCTTAATATTGGGATTAAAACACTTGGAATCTGGACAACATTCTAATTCAACAAAATGCTTCATGATTGGAAGTGGTATTTCCCAAGATTTTTTTTTTTAGGTGGTTTATAAAATGTGATATGAATGTTTCATGAATTCAGTAATGGGGAAGGATGGTTAATTGGAATACAGTGAGCTTTGTGGCAAAAATTTGCATATGGCATATTGATATTATGTCATTCTTAGCACAAATCTTACCATATAAAATGTTCCTCTTCTAGTCTTTAAAAGAGCTGAYTTCGTAAAAATGATATGAATGTATTCCACCATTATTATTATTATTTATTTCTTATTATGCTTATAATTAGCCAAGTCCTTCCCAAACAGAAAAGCCACAGTCCCTGCCCCAAGGAGCTCACAATCTAAAGATGGACAAGTAGAGAAGTGAAGGGGGGGGAGTCCACAGAGATTTCAAGAAGCTAAGGTGGAAATCAGCTGTATCTTAGTAATTAGATATAGTATAAGTGCACTAATGCAAAGCTATGCAAAGCTATTTCCCAGGTACCTCTCACACTTTCTATCATGGTTCAACTAATTCACTTCTTGGTGTCATGGCAGAGGTGGACATAAAGGAATGAAATTCTTGGTCAGAAGGAATAGAGCAGGTATAAAGCAAAACTGGGAAACTTATCCAAAAGTATTGAGATTGGAGGGCTTTTTGTGTGTGTGTGTTTTTGAAACTCAGTTCAATACCAGGATAGTTTAGATCTTATGGTTTTAGATCAGCTCTCTGGTTTTCCAATTGCTTTGTCCTAGTGTCATGCTTGTACTATAGTGCTAGGGATATAGGATGTAAGCGTATTCTGTGCATCTGGTGGACCTTTACTATAGGTTAATATGAACTACTATTGGCTAATATGAATATAAGATGTATCATAGTAAGACTATGGAAATTAAGAATGAAATGACCACACTGGTGCATATATTCATGTGTTTCTATGGGAGGAGATAGGGGCTGAATGGTGATGGGAACTGGATGGTGATCTTAGGTCAGCAGTGAACTTACATTTTAATAATGTAGGACACCAGTCACAGATTAAAAAGAAACAGACTGTTTAATTTTAAAAATACTGTTTTTGACTAAGACAATAAGTCACTCATCAGTTAAGAAAAATACTATTAGGTTTTCTTTGTACATTTAAATGTCTAAGTATTTGTTATAAAACCTCCAGTCAGGTTCCCCCCAAACTCTGAAACTGTCCAAGAAACTCTTCTAAGGTTTTCCTTTAAAAACTTCTCAGTAAATTACCATGTTTTTCCAAGTATTCTGGGGATCATTGTCTATTCATTGCCAAAACATCTTGCTCTTAGCAAATACAGGTGTATTGTGAAGGCAGAAGCTAATAAGCGGTTGAACATTAAAGTGCATAGGTTGTCCACATTTGGAAAAATAAATGGTCAAAGAAGCAATAGCTATTCTGATTACGGATTCTTGGGGAATAATCCGTCATCATTTTTTAGCAAGCCACAAATATTTCTTTAAGGAAAGAAACATTTTTTTTTACAGTCTTCAAATCCTGCAAATAATGCATTTCTAACAACATTATCAGGAAGGTCATAATCCTATTGCTGCAAGGGGAAGCTGTAATTAAATAACCAAATAGAGAGATCATTCATAATTTACAGGTATTCATCTTCAATAAATAAAATAATATACTTTATGTTTTATTCTTTACAGCTTTTGAAGCAAATCAAGTTTCTAGCAGTTTAAATAAATGTTTCTAATAGATTAACATGTATTGTGTTGATAGTAACCGCTTATGATTATTACATTGCCCAGAATCTTTAAGAACCTACAAAGTTAAATAAAGGCTTACAAGTCTTTTAAGCTACTTTTTATTTGCATAGAAAAATATTTATCATAGGAGTCAACTATCATATGAGAGAAATTGCATTTTTTGTAATTGAAAAAGATAGCTAAAAAGTTTCTGTGGGTTATTGCAACAGTACAAGAATACAAGATGCTTCCATTTATTAAAAAATGTAAAACAAATTGTGAAAGCTAAAGCAGGCTACAAAACAGAAGGTCCCCTTGTTACCTTTCTCTTGACTACTATATTACAAGATCATGTGCCACAGTTGAGTACTATAAAGTGTAATTCTGCATTTGCTAATATAATTCTTAAAACATTTTTCCTCAGCACTATGCAAAATATATATATTTGTAAATGCTTCCTACAATATGCGTCACAACCTTGTTATCACATAGTCACCCTGATCAATTGTTTCATGTTTCTCATCACAGTCAACATTAATATCTAGCTCCTTGTCCAGCTGATCCTGTGATGTTGCTGGTTCTGAGCTTTGTAACTCCATTTTCTCAGTTTCTGAAGCACAAACACTTCCCTCATCCTGTGAATCTGAAGAGTCACTATTATTTTGTGACTCAGCTAACATGCCCTTTCCATCAGGACTTTGGATGCTTAATTCACAGTTCATGGTTAGTTCTTCATCTTCCAGTTCAGCAGTTTTCTCACATTGTTCTTCTGCCTGTTGACGGGAGACTTCTTCAGAAACGGTATATATTTTATTTGCACTCTGTTCCACAGAGTTTGTTTTTGATCGTCTGTGAAATAAGCCCAAATTTTTTATGTCTGTTACAAAATTCACTCGCTTTTGTTTCTCCTTAGTGGACTCTGACACCATCATTGCTGAGCCATTGCTTACATTATGTGCTTCAGAGGCAAGGGTGGCTGATCCTGGGTGAATCATCGTTGTTATGTCAAAAAGGCTGAAGGGTTTTTTCTTTCCTTTCTTGTTCCCCTCATTCTCACACTTTTCTTCAGTCTCTGACAAAGAAGCAGCTTCTTTGTTCATCTTTGAGTTCTGCAAATTAGATAGCTTGCTTCCTTTTAACAAACCCAGGACTTCAAAACGAAAGCTGGAAATATCTTGTTTTAATTCCTAAAAATTATGAAGAAATAGAAGATTTTAGACTATGAAATGTAATCTACCTTTTTTTTTTTTCTTGAAACTAAAAGAAAAACAAAAAAGAAAAAAAAGATTATTATGCTTGGCATCATATACTTCATATGATGCAGATGATGACCAAAATCTTCAAGGCACTTTGGATCCTCACTACTTTCAGGTAAGAGTGAAACCTGAGAGGAAAAGTGTGTTGCTCTACACTACTCACAGAAATCATGGACTGTGKTAGAGAAGGGAGCGTTGATAACTTGAAGACTTACAGCCTTCTGTACTACAGAAGGTATACAGTAGGTAGTAKTATCCCGTTACAAGCACAGAATTTTGACCAGCAATTAATACACTCCTACACACAAACATACATTTGCATGCATACACACACATACRCACTTCTCTGTGAGAAGCCCACAGGAACTGTAGGTAGAACTTATTTCATTTACTCAACAAGTTTGGTGGCTGGACATCTAAAAGATAATCATCTCTTTATGCCTTTATATTAGTGGAACTTGTCTCTTGAAGGCCTGTCTCAGGAGAAGACACACCAYCTTCAGGAGATGCCTGTTTCAKTCATTTTCTTTAAAGGAATAATGGGACAACTCTGTCTTCTGAGTGTCTAAGCTGTGGCAGGTGAATATTTTGGATGATACTTGGTTTTTGGGGAACCAATAGTAAGAAAACTCTTTGATGCTCAAAATAAAGAGTGGCAGATATAAAAGCTGTGGTCAGAATCACCCTGATAATTTCATCTGTCAACAGATTTTAGTATTTGACTGCTTGTTTCCATCTGTTAAGGGTTACATATAYAAATGCACAGCAGCACTTAATAGCAGCAGATGAGGCATATTTCCTAAGGTGTTGAAACTATTTGATTTAGTAACTATATTGTTGAAAATATTTAGCCCACTTTGGCATTCCCACATTGCCACAATTCAAGCTAGTTGATGAAACKGACTTTCTCTTCAGCTGAACAAATATGGACACTTGCTGGCGTTTGTGTGTGTGTGGTTTGTCAGGAGACATAAGAGTCTTCTAAAAAGGAAGTCTGAGTCTACATGCTTTACAGTCATCTAATATCTTATTAAAACACCAGTTAATGTGTAAATACATACGTACCTTAAAATTTTCTTCCGTCAAGCCCTCTTCAGTTTTGGCATCTCTTATCATTGCTGCAACATATCGCTTAACCAGATTTCTCATAACTTCCTAAAAATATAAAACATCATGTTAGTTATTTATTTTTGATRTTGCTTTTTGTTTTGTTTTGTATTAGTTAGTAAACCAACAGTCACTGACTTCTACTTGATTTCTTTACTTTTTTGAAAACATGAGAAAAATGTCCAAATCTCTGATCTGGTTAAAAATTTGGAATGCTTTTGGGTTGATATCCTAAGAATGGCTGTATTCAGTAAGATTAAGGATATATCACAAGCCAGTATCTTGTGCTCTGACGGTGATCTGTTGCTGATGCTTCGTGAGGAGAATAACTCTAGTTTTCCTTTCGTGAGGAGAATAAGGGTAGTTTTATGATGTTTTTTTTTCCACCTGTATTCTCCCAAGCCTCCTCTGATCTGAGATTCAGAGACTTCTTGAATCAAAAATGATATAGCAAAAATTGTGGATGTTGAGAGTCCGAAATAGAGGAAACTTGCCACAGATAACTAAACTATATATAATTTTTGCTATATCATTTTTGATCCAAAGTCCTCTTTTGGAGGACTCCTTTGAAGTCCTTTGCCAATGAACTCCATGGGAGCCTCCTTTTGGGTTTTTGCTAGCTTTTAACCTGTCCTCTTGTTGTTTTCTTTGGCATCTCCTGCTTCTAAGAATTAGGTAATTATTTAAAGTGATACTTAAAATAGTTGAATGTTCATCCCCAGTAGTGCTAACTCTGAAGTTATATCAAGTTGCTTGGGCCCACATCTAGCCAATTGCTGCATATTTCCCAGGGTGGAGATGCCAAAGGCTCTCTAAGCAACTTTTTTTTTTTTTTTTTTTTTTCCCAGTGCTTAGCCACCCTCAGTGTGATGAAAATTTTCCTTGCATTTAATCAGAATTTCTCTTTTGCTGTACACCTCCAAGAAAAATCTGGTTCCATTTTCTGTGTAACCACTCACTATGTACGTAAAACAGTAATTAGATCCCTGCTTAACCTGCTCTAGGCTGAACAAACACAGATCTCAACTTCTCCTTTTATGTCAGACCTCTAAACATCTCGGTGGTCCTCCACCGGATTCATTCCATTTTGTCAACATCTTCCTGGTAGTAGGGGGCCCAAAACAGGACAGCATGCTCAGATCCAGACTAGCAATCGCAGGGCAGAGGAGAATAATCACTTCCCTCAACCTGCTGCCTACCAATGCAGCCCAGTGCATGGCTGGTATTTGGTGTGAAGAGAAATGCTAAACAGCTGCTCTATGTTCACCTTCTCCATAATTTTATGTACCCATATTACACTCTTCACAGCTGTGTCCTTTTTTTCAGGTTGGAAAGCCACTGTTTACATAGTCATTTTTCATATGGAATTTTTTATAGCTAAGCTTTCAATCATACGACCCACAGCTTGGTTAGCCTGCACCCTTTATAGCATAATATAAATATAAAAATAATTCCTAAACTAAATAATCTCAAGAAAAAAAAAAACCATGACCCCAGGAGGCTGAAGAGGCTGAAGCAAGAAGGAATCAGAGGAATAACAGATTTCAGCAGAGGATTAAGGGAAACAGTATTTTCTGGGAGACCAGAGCTGGAGATGAAGATCAGGCTCTGATGCAGTGGGCCAGTTAGCTGAACATCAGCTGCATCTCAGACAGGAGGATAGTTACATCTGCTTTAATAGAGATAGTCTACATAATAGCAGGAAAAATTCTGGTAAATGTTTATTACTCTAAATAGACAACCCTACCTCCCAAATGCTTTTGTTTCATCATCAGTTTGTGCCCTTTTGCTGGGAATGAAATAAATTTGGATGTTTTTGTTTGTTTGTTTGTTTCTTTCTGGTGAAATTCTTTCTTTCTTTCTGAGGCATAAAAAATAATTGCTCAAAATTTAAAGACGAGCATTTACCTGATATTGATGATGTCTTCTTAGATTGTCAGCTGCACGCCTCTGAAAGAAAAAGGAGAGGAGAGGAGAGGAGAGGAGAGGAGAGGAGAGGAGAGGAGAAGAGAGGGGAGGGGAGGAGATGGGAGGAAGAAAAAAAAGCATGAATCCTTATCTGGTTACAGTGATAGCAAATTACATAAAGTATGATAAAACAGCAGGTCTGTGCAGTTTGTGGCATCTAGCAAACTGAGGAAAAGGTTCAAAGTCTGTTGAAAGGTAGTAGTGTTCAAGCAAAACCTGTCATTAGCCATATGGAAGGGAGACTGTTGTCACTAGAAAGGCAAAGTGGATTTTCTGCATTTTCATCATTGTGCTGCTGTTTGAGCATTGATATGGGGTGGTGGAGAGGGCAGGGTTGTACTTGCAGAGCACAAGTCATTGATCTAAGATAAAGGGGAACAATGTGGTTTTGTTACTCATTCGCACAGGTTAAAGGATATTTTCCAGGATTGAGAAGAACTCGACATAAAAACGGTGTTCAGAAAACTCTGGCAGTTTCCTAATGTCACATTTAAGATACAGCTATTCAATGTCTGCAGTGTAATGCTTTTACAAAAAGAGAAAAAGTCCTGACTTGTTCCCTACTAAAAACAATTGCTCACACAGAGAAGTACAGAAGACAGAACTTCGGCTGTACAATGCAGAAGTTTAGTGTAATGAAGGAGAGACAGATAAGAGGGATAGTAACYCTTATGAAGAACTACAAAAGAAATCTTGGCAAAAAGAAAACACAGTATAGTCTATGAGAAAKGCCACATTAGATTATACTATCATATCTAAGGAGGACTCCAAATGAAGATGGGGAAAATAAATTCTCAGTTACTTAGTCCAAACACTACTGCTGTCCTCAGTAATGCACTGAGCTACATCTATCTCTTTTCCCTACCTCAGTTACCCCTGATGAAAGAGAGATTTACTATTTTTATTTGGCTTCTTATATCTGCAGCTAGCAAGAGAAGTGTATGTCTGACTATTGGTTGTGCTTCCACAAAGCAGAACACTTAAGGCACCTTAAAACAGAACAAATTAAATCTGAGAGACTCAATAAAATTGACCTCAGTTACAAAATGAGGCAGACTCAGTATGGTATTTTGTCATCTTCTTTCTCTCGAAATTCATTGGCAATTTATTTACAATTAACAATTTTCCTGTACTTGATTTGTTTTCCATTTTATGGTCGATTTCTTGTTTGTAATTCATTTCAGGAATGAGGTAGCTGTACATTAAAAAAAATGGAAAAAGTGAACAGAAATGCCAATGTTTCCTAATTGCTCTGAACAGATACTGTGCCAAATTGTTTCATCTGACTAAGCATCTGGTTTTCAGTGTTTTTCTAGATCATGTTGCTGCATCTTGTGTCACTAACTCAAAGAAACAGTGAAAATTCATTGTGTTCTACAGGGGGAGGGAAGGGAGTGCCTGTCCACCCCCACATGTCCAGGGAGGGCAAGTTAGAACCAGGAAGACAGTGGCTTGCCCTCCACCTACTCATTAACCAAATTTAATTATCTGATGTTTTACAGCTGGCCACATGATGGAGATATTTCATTTCTGCTGCAAGAATACTAGGTGAGTCTGAGGAATACTAGGGCATGAAATAACAGATTGGACTCACAGGTAAAGAGAAAAACATTCTAAAATGTAATTGAAACGCACTTCAGTTCAGGCAAAGCCAAATTTTCAAAAAAAAAAAAAAATGCTGATCTTTTTCTTGCAGAATACTTTCTGCAGTGGCTATCTGCTCTGGCTTACTTTTCAGAGAAATGCAAATTAAATGCATAGGTTTAAATTCTGTATTTGTAGCCTTTTTTGTTTGTTTGTTTATTTGTTTGTTTTTATTTATTAGCCAAATGGTAACTCCCAGAAAAAGAGACTTTTGGGATTTAGGATGACTATGCAAACCAATTTATCTGTGTAGTAGTATCCAGAACAGCTGCACTGCACTKATGCATATTTTCAACTCAGAACATTGAGAAGATGAAAAAGAATGGTGTATATGAGTACAGAGACACATACACACCACACATGTAAGCCATCAAACTTCCCATCATTTCTCTATATCCTATTTAAATATTCAGAATCAATCTCCAGTTCATAATTTGCTTGGCTTCCTTTCCAAGGCAGATTGAAGCCTTGCTTAAGCATATTTCAAAAATAAGCTATTCACTGTAATGAAAATTATATTCATATTATCCTTAGTTCTTCTCATATCATTCTTAGTTCTTAATGACACAGTTTTTCTCTATCTGCTTGTAGTAGATATGGTCCCAATTTTGGATGCTCCCAAAATTGTGTACACATCCAATTTGTTTCAAGTAACCCATGTTCTATGTGCATGAAGAAGTGTTGAAAACTGTGGTTGAATATAAGGAATAAAATTTAATTGTTCACATAAAATAGTAGTAGAAGGAAGACACAATCTCACAGTGAATATGTTTTATTAGATAATGAAATTAAAGGGAGATACTCATCTTTAATTACCAAAACGGGACACTAATCTCATTTGAGAAGATTTAACAATATTTTTTACTGGTTGTGATAATGGGTTTAGTCTTCCTGTTTATGTCATTGCTAGCAATGTGTACTGTTTAGAAAAAAAGAATCTTTAGCTTTCAAAAATTATTAATGAAAAAAATCCTTTTCTTGCTGTGTATTCAAAATGTGTCTTACTGTGTATTCAAAAACTACATCTTTTATAAATGACGTGCTCTAATTTAACTTCTGAATTTGACCTCAAAAATTTCATGATAAAGGTCCAGAAAATTTAAATGTCATCTGAAGTCATTGGATATGTTTCTCAAACTTGCATCGAAGCATCACAGGAAAAAGTATCTGTTTTATGAAGGTCTTCCAATGGTTAAGTCCATGGCTACACAATAAGCAGGCTCCGCATTATTGCTTTCCATTCCAGGTGATAGTAGGGGTTTTTTTCCTTTAATTTTCAATTCATGCATATTATGAATATTTCTTTAATTTTCAATATCATACATATTACAGAGAAAATGTAAAATAACTCTATTGACTTAGGAGTTTCATCATTTTCCCCTTGGAGAAAAAAAAACAAGGGAAAAGAATATTTTCTATGACAACCATAATCATTACCATGTAGAGAATTTGGGAAAATGGCATTAAAAATTGGACAGCTATAAGAGAGGTAATTGTTTATTTAAACCTCATCTGCACAAGAAAATACTCACATATGCCTAGCAAATCTTTCCCATTGTCTCTTCTGAAATACTTAAAATTACGGGTAGAAGAAAACCACTCTGAACAGACAGAAAATAGAGTGCAATTTGAGGAAAACAGTATAATTTATTCCACTTGGGATTTGGGATTTCTTCCGTTTCCAAAAGGAAGGAATATCCCTTCTTTTTGGTAAAAGGAATAGATTTCAAATGGCCAAGAGGAGTAGCCTTGACACACCAAAAAAATTCAATAGTGAAGAAAACTTCAGCCAATAGAACTTCATTACTAATCTGGCTTTTGCAAAGGTAAGCTGACAAAGTTAACAGAGCTACTATATATAGCTGAAAGAGCAGCACATGCTGTTATTTCAGAGTTTTAAGTGTAGGAGATACTTTGTAATAATAGCTGAAGAGAATGCTGCATACCTGAGATATGTCAAAATGACAGAAAAAAAAAAAAGTGCTGAAATCTGATAAAGTAAAAGATCTCTTTTTGGTTAATAAAAGCTTTGAAATRCTAGTAAGTTACATGGGAACATCCTGGCCTTCCTATGCTGTCAGCAGCSTGTGGCTAGGAGAGCTCCAATCAGCATCTGTCAGCCTCTTGCTGTGGAGAAAGGTCCTATTACCTGAGAAAGACACCCTTCACTCCACCACCCCACTGTTTTGGCTCTCCTCATGCACCAGAGAATACCAGAAATGGAGAACTGACATTCAAGGAGAATGCAATTAATTAGCTCTCTTCAGAGGCACCTCACTTTTCTGCAAACACTGTTCTTTCCTCTGACAGCGTTGTAGATGGTCCCAAGCAATCCTGCTATAGTTATCTCTACTGACATTTTTCTTCTTTGCATGAGGCACATAAATCCYTCTATTGGTATATCTGCTATAAATTATCCTGGCCCTGAATCCTTTCTTTACCAGTTTTACATGCAAATAATACYCTTTCAATTTCTTTTTCTTTTTTTCTTTTTTTCAGTGCATCCCTTCAGTGCAGCATATTTGCTGCACCCTTGAGTCATTTCTAGCTCACAATTTCTGGCTTTTTGGTGCTATTTTTTTTTCCCAGACATCATGCCTGATCCTTGAAAAATGCTGGCTATAACAAGCAAGATRTACTCTGCCTATCATCTGTTATCTATCCTTTAGCTCTGATTCAACCCTTGGAAAACCACTATTGCTTTTCAGCTGGAAAACACCACTGTATATCACTGCTGATTAGTTTCTTCTTTAATGTCTTCTAGACATTCAGAACAAAATGTTTTGAAATTGGAGTTGTACCTCACAGTAAACATGGTGTCACATATTTAGCCAATGTAAGAAAGACTGAAATAGAGTCTAAAGCTTTCATTTACAACATGGGGCATACGATAGGTATTGGAATTCATACTGTAAGACTTAATGAAGAAAAGTAGGTCCAACCAAACCTCATCTTGCAGCTCTGAGGCCTGAGTTATTATTGGTGAGATTCCAGTGACCTGAAGTCAGACAGCTGTCAACCAAGATCTTTTGAGCAAAAGACAGGGAAAAGTCTTCATTTTCCTTTAACTGAAAGGGCTAAAGGTTCTAAATTTAATTTCTGATACATTTTATATAGATAATTATCAAAGATTCAGGAATATGAGACTAGGTGATGAAAATAACATTTCAAAATGAGAAAACATGATGTTCTCCTGTGAGAAACACCGAGATCACTATGGTGTGCCCATCATTTCTCCAGTGACTTAAGCTCAGTTGGAGAAAATCCAGTTAGCAGCATCTGATTTACATCTATATAAACTRTACATAGACATGACTACTGGAGTGACTAACGACTCTCAAGTGGCAGATATGGACAGATTTTCTGTATGTGGAAATCAGGGTGCATATAACATACACACATCTTACCCCATATTGGAGCTTGGGTATAACTGGGCCTAGAAATCTTTGAATGTTCACAGTTCAAGAAGTCCCAATGAGGTTTTTGTAATTTATAAGTAGCTAGCTGAAGAACTCACTGCTTTTATGAGATGCCCTCATATAGACTAAGTCTGGTCAACCAAAGCCATTCACTTTCAAGGTAGCTGGAATTCTTGTTGCCGTGATGGCTCAGCTGGAGGGCAGACTTCAGAATATTGCTTAATATAATAACGAAATAATAACTATATAATATGATAGTAATATACTTAAAGATAAATAGTTGTTCTGTAATGAAAGTGAGGGAGGAATATGGCTGTATTGTCTCACAGAACTTCCGGATTGAATTTCTTTTTCTCATTGATCAAAATCTTTTGAGGTTTATGCTACACAAATTAAAAAATATCCAACATCTCTACTTCCCCCACGTCCTCTGCTCTCAAAAAGTTCATTAACTGGCAGCCCTCATTCACTGAGCCAACCTCTCTCTGTATAGGGAATCCAGGTTCAGCTCCTTCTCTTATGTTTTCCCATGAGAGCACCTTTCCCTGAAGGAGCTATTTTGAGATGGGAAATCTCTCCTGTCAGAGATGTTATGCTTGGTATACATAATTAAATACTCACTGGAGAATGGGAGTAAACCTAGGTCTCCCATAGCCCAAGCTATTTGCTATTCTTAGCAGGTTCTCCTCTTCCCTGTGATCAAAAATCCCATCCTGAAGCTGAAAAATCTTTTTCAACAAAAGCTTCTTTGAAAGTGGTATACATGTATGAAAATATTTGGTTTTGAAGAATTTCTGTATTTTTATTGAAAAAAAAAAAAAAAAAAAAAAAAGCTATGTGGAAAAATTCCCAACCAATTCTATCTATAGACTTGCTGCCTTTTGACCCTTTGTTGCAGCAGTTTTCCAAAACCCAAGCTGCTGATTCCTAAAAGCTGGTATTTACCTACCTCAGGAGGAGGTAGCCTTAGGAAAAACTTGCTGATCTTTATGAACCCCTCAAGTAATTCAGTACAGAGGACCCTGTCTCTCTTTTTCCTTCTGCAGAACTAGGAATGAGTTCACTCCCAGAGCTGTGGTTGGAGAGGAAAACAAAGGAAAAAATCTCTTGTTTTGGATAAAATGTCTGAAACATAACATCGTCCTGAAACTTTTACTAGGATGTGCAAGGGTACTTTTGATCTGTTCCAGCCAAACAGGGCTAGTATGTTAACCCATTCTAGATTTTCAGCTGGTATAAACTGATCTCACAACATTAATTTTAATACCATTCCATCAGTTTACACTCCCTAATCATCCCTACCAAAAGCACATCTCTGCCCTGATTTATTCCTCCTTTTAACAAAATTGCACTATTTTTCCTTTAGTTTTACTCTACACTTCTTTATTTTCCTTCCTAGGTTACACTGTAGTATTTTATTCTTGAGGCTTTTCAGCGTTTATTCTCGGTTCAACTATTTCATTTTTTATTTCCATAAGAATCAATATTTGTCTATCTTGATTGCTTTCTAATATCAATTTTCAGATGTTCCTCAGTTTTTCTTCCTGCATTCTACCATTAGTTTTTGTTTATATGTGTATTTGTTTGCTTTAAATGCTCATTCTTTTAAGATTCCTTTTCTGTCTCTTTATTTCATATCTACATTTACAACAGATAACTCAAGCATATTTTCTTTTCTCAGTGTAAATAATGCCCAATAAAATCAGATTCTGACATAAATCGGGTTAGGAGCTTTACATAAGGAGGCCAAAAATCATTCATTAGTTTAGGAAATGTGAATTAGTTGTATATGTCACATTTTCTCTTTTGTCTCTGTAAAACATCTCTGTCTCTGTTTACATCTCTGCAAACTTGTTCCCTTAGGTATATTTTGTGATTAAACTGAATGACAGGATACGACAGAAGAAAAAGTAAGCAGAGTCTGTATTTCAGTTCACTTATGAAGATACTGTGAAAAAATGCAGAGAAGAAATAAAGATTTATAGAGTAATTTTATCCTTACAGAGTAATCGCATCTTATCCTCTGGCTTCTTTGAAATGAGTTGCTACCAGATTAAACTGCATAAATAGGATAAGGACTTTTCTCCTCCTTTTTTACCCACACATGAGATTCTCATACTCTGAACGCTTTTCTATCTGCGCTCTTAACAGACTTTAAAACACTTACTAAATCCCTATAGTAGAGGGCAAATGTCATCAACATCTTATCTGTGATGAATTTCTTTATGCTGGGCTTGCTTAAATGCAGGCTAGTGAGTGTACTTTATGGGAAATGTAGAAAATGCTCCTAGAGATTTGTTTTTCTGTGAAATAGGTTGTTGCTTGTGTACTTTTACTAGAAGCATAAAATTGTTCTGATAATAGGTATCTCAACTGGATAAAATAGGAGGTAAAAGTTCAGATCTACCTTACCTTCTCCAGCTAACAAAGAAAGAACACATCTACTAAATCCAATCCAGAAGGACTAGTACTGCTCCTCTTGTGTCCCTTTATCTACTCCTTTCCTTCCCTAGAAATTCCTCCTGCTAATCAGTACATTTAGAATGGGCCACTAATGTGATTCTGAGACAAAGAGCTGAAGAGGAAAACTCTACCTCTAAATTCAAGCGAGTAAATCCAGACAAGTGGTGTTAACTTTTGAAATAGTCTTTCTTTACTGGGAATACAAAAAATATTTTTATCGCTATGGCAAATTCTTTATAAAAATTCTTTATATAAAAAATGTGTGTACTTGACCTGGAGACCATCAAGGAACCCTAGTATTGATAGGCGAGTATAAATATTTGATCTCTAATATTTGTATTGCTTTTAATCTTTCTGGATTTATCTGTAGATGAGGCACATGATTCAACCAACTTGTACCATAATCACAAACTCTTCTTGGCCTACTTTTAGAAATTACAGCGGCATGAAATGTGCAGAGGGACTCACAGCTGCTGGCTTAGGAGAAGACACTTAACCTGAAACTAAAACAATTTCTGATTTTTAAATATCTCCACTTGGAAACCATGTATATTGAGAAACGGTTGCCTTTGGGCAGTTCATTTTTTCATTTCTGGGGTGGAAAATCATCAGCCTTCTGTTATGACTATATTCTCTATGGCAAATCTTAACTGAAAACTGCACGTTTTCAGGCCAAAGAAGCCTGAAAATTCTTTTGGCCCTTTCTTTGAGGGCCAAAGAAGTTGTATGTGCAAAACACCTTGCATTTTCTCATGTTGTGCTACCTATCACTTGATACAAACTCCTCCTCGCTCCTTCCACAACAGCACCTCCTGTTTTCCTGTTACCATTACACTGAAGTCTGATGATGCTTTTTCTTTAGTCAAAACATTGACATGAATATAATTCTGCCAGGAAACAATAGGTTTTATTTTATAGATACATAAAATATATATGTTTTTCAGTGTTTTGTTATATATGTTTTAATATGTTTTATTATGTATTATGTTTTATTATATAAATATATAATATAGGCTTTTTATAGTATATACACTAATATATGCACACACACATACACACACATATATATATAATCTATTTTTCCCTGCCAAAATCATAATCTAACTCATATTAACATTATTTGACAGGTCAGAGGCTTCCCAACTCTGCACTGTTGAGAAGAAATACCTATATTGAAAGGAGGAGGACTACATATTAAATAAAGCACTGAACTTACCCCTATAGTTCCAAAACTCTCAGGTTTTCTTCTTATTTTTTTCTTGCACAGATGTCTCCATAACCATTTGATCAGATACCAGAGGGATTTTGGGCTTGGTATGACATTGAAAGGAGTAGGCAGAGTCCCTCCTTCTTCAAAGTAACTCATCCAGAGTTTTGTTCGAGCAAACTTCCACTCAATGTCTGCATGATCCTGCACACAAGACAGCAGCTCACATATTGCTGTGATTGTCAGTGAAACAAATCTTACAAAAGTCAGGTAGTCTAAAATTGGAACTAACCTGAAACACTAATGAATTTTCTTGTTAAAATACCACCATCTTTTCTGTGACAGGAAAATCTTTAATACAAAGCAAAGTTTAAGTAGCTTTACTCCAGGAGTAAAGCAAAGGGAGTCTTTGGATAGTGTATGTTCTCACTAATACCCTCTTTCAAACTCTTTTCCTTTTAAATAGGAAGGACTTTTAAATAATTAAGTCTCTCAGAAAACAAAGGATAATTACAAGTAGAAAAAACCCCCTACATTTCTGATAGAGCTGTTTTGTTATAACACCAACTCACCATTATTCTACATAGATCAGTCTAATTAGTCTGCTGCACAGCAACTTCAGTAAGCCTGTAAGTCTCATATATTATCTCAGTAATTGCTAGAGCCATAAATTCACAGATTGGTTATCTCACAAATCAGGAGACTATTTAAAATGATGAGTTGAATATCTTCATTTTCTCCTATTTCAGAGTTATGCATTTGGAAAAGACTTTTTTTTCCCCTTTTTTCTCTAATTTATGTTTTATTTCTTTTGGATTCTATATAATATTGTATATTTTTGACAAGTTGAAAATGAATACTCAAGACAATGACTAAAAAAGATTGCTAAATCCTAGCAGGATTTGGACAAAAAAACATAAGGTTCAAGAACTTAAACTACTGATTCAGCACTAGCTTTTACTATTTAGATATATGGTAATCAGTAATTTAGAAGCTCTAGTAAGAAAGCTATTCAACCTGCAGGATTCAACCTGTGGAGTTTGAATACTAGTCTGTCATGATTTAGAGTACTGGCCAATAACCATAGTATATACATGTGTTGTTAAATTTCTTTTTGGAAAAAAAATTATAATTTCTTTGCAGATTAGGAAAAAAAATCACATTAATGTGAATATTTCTTTCATTTGCTTGTTTTCTGCTTTATCATTTTTGAGTTATAATACTAAGATTCAATGTTTAATGCTGTTAAAATCATTAATAGAAAGTTGAGAAATAAGGCAAGGCAATTAACTCTGATAAGAATGTAGTTTTCATTAAACAAGAAAACAGGATGAATGAGTGAGAAATTATRACCTTTTGCCTGGTTTGTGCATTAAGTCATCATAAAATCTGAAATCAATGCTCTTTTCCAAAGCCAGTTAGCAGGAGATTAGGAGATTATATGAAATTCACAGAGCTAGTAAATTTATAGAAATTAGTAAAATTAAAGTAGGGTCAGGACCATCTGAAACAGATTTAGTTTCTCAAGACTGCCCTTATACTGAGCAACATGGAGAGTGCTACCATCTCTGTCACTTGTCAACTGTTCCAAGACTTGTATCTGTACCCAGAAGATGGCTTCTACATCAGGTCTACATTTTTATCATTCAGAATTCTTGGAAAATTCATATCTGGACAAACCCAGCTGTGATTTGGTTTCTTTGCTTTTCCCCAATGTTAAAGGATCAGAACATATCAGAGAACTTGTACCTATGTTCTGTATCTAAAAGAGATTTATTACCAGATAATCAAAGAGCAGAAACGGGTGTATAGTGAAAATGACTGAAGGATAAAAAACAACTTACAGCAATAAGCTGATAAGAGTTATTCATCATGGCTATTAGCATGTTGAGTAGAACAACCAGAGAGATTACATTATAGGTACCAAACATAGTGGCCCCAACAAATTCAGTAAATTCATGCCTTGCTTTCACATTGGTCACATACAGATTGATAAGTCCAAATATAGACCAGAATAATGACTGCAGTGTTTCAAATAACCTGTAAAACAAATAAACAAAAAAGAATGGTTGTGTAATAAAAATACATATTTACAGTGCAAATTCCACATTGTCATTTTTTTCCCATTACAAAGTCCTTTCCTTAATTGAGACGAGTGATATTCCTCCCAATATAGACAATATATAGGGACACAGCTATCTAGATAAGCATTGCCTAAATATTTCAAATCTGAGCCTCTGCATTTACAGTCTATAACCCATATCTAAGAGTTTAAGCACTAGGATGATTCCACTGAAGCTTCTAGGGGATAAATATAGGTTTTGATGTTGTTTTGAACATCTAACTTTGAAGGTTTTTGATCCTTTGCTTGGGCTTTTAGGGGGTAAAACAAGACCCCTAAAGTAGCTCAATGATTGTTTAAGCAGGGTTTTAAAACGTTTTGCACATTCTCATGAGGAGTTGTATTGACAACATACAATTTCTATTATGTGTTGATAGTCATTTTCACTGAAAAAGATAAAAACTATACTGGATAAGAACTATAAGTGTATATAAATACCTCAAGGGAGGGAGTGAGGAGAATGGGGTTGGCCTCTTTTCATGGGTGGCCACTGATAGAACTAGAGGAAATGGCCACAGACTGAAGCACTAAAAGTTCTGTAGGATCTTAAGGAAAAATTTCTTAACAATGAGGGTGACAGAGGCTGTCCAGGGTGGTTGGGGAGTCTCCTTCTCTGGAGATCTTCCAAACCTGCTTGGATGCCGCCCTATGCACCGTGCTCTGGGTGACCCTGGGTGTGCAGCGGGGTTAGACTAGATGACCTCTGAGGTCCCTTCCAATCTTAAGGATTCTATGACTCTATATTTTAAAAACAGTCTAGATATGGTTCTATGATATAGAATGTAACAAGTATTTATTTTAAGAATTCAATTCAGATTGGAAGTTGAAAAATAAGTTAGAAAATTAGTGTTCATTTGATAGTGTTCTGGCACTAAAATGCATCATAGAACAGACTTACTTAAGTTATGTTTTTTTATTTTTTAAAATTTTTTATTTTTTAACTAGAAGGAAAAATAAACTTTAAAACAGAAACAAGAGCACAATATGAAGAAGCCTCAACAGATTTGTTTTTCCTGCCTCAGTTTGTCAGGTGTGCAAGAGTTCTAGAGAGTTCTAGTTTTAGATCATGAGCCTTATTTAATTTCCACAAGTAAACACAGAAGAAACATATAATAACAGATGCCTGGAAAAGGGAATTTATTTTTTTTTTTTTAATTCTAAGCATGTATTCTTTAATCTCACATCGTGTCCCCCTCCTTTTTGTTTTATTTTTTATTTTTGAAATACGTTCTACTGTACAGACTCCACCGTGGTATACTGTCATGGCGAGTAAAAACGATCAAAGACTGATATAATAGTAATATATATATTTTTGTATTATGGTAGTTCTTGGGAGTGTCAGCATGCCAGTAGAGGGGAAAAAAAAAAAGAAAAAAGGAAAAAAAAGACGATCTCTTTCCTAAAGACAGCATCTAATTGAGAAACATATGGGAGAAATAAATTAGCCACTTACGTTGAAAATGCATTATTCTGCTTATCACATCGTATTCCTTTGCAGCTGTCAGGTTCATTTGTCTCATAGTAAAAGTACAGCTGGTTCAACCCATTTGCAAAAGCTAGCAGCACAAGGCAATATATGAAGAGAAACTTCAAAATGTCCAGCAACATTCTTCCCAGAGATATTTGCAGAGGTCCCAGGTGAGAATTTGCAGTGAATAATGAGATCAAGCGTAGGGAGCTAAAGATGTTTGCAATTGCAAACAGTGCCTCAGCCACCAGTGTTGGATGCCACATGTCCCAGCTCTCTCGTGGAACCAACCCGCTATACTGAAAACAAACAGAAGGGAGAAAATTATTCCTCTACTTTCATGCACAAACAAACGCATAAGCCATTCAATTCATTTGCACAATAAAAATAAACCTCTTTGGGGGAGCAGAATGTCTTCAGCAGAGCTATTTATGTTAGGAAAAGCAAAAATGGCTGCTATCTTTAGACTTAGTGTTCCTTTTTGTTTGCAGAATGGCCTATGCTTTCTCCTTTTTTTTTGACTGTGTTTTGCATTTGGTTATGATTTTTACTGTAATGAAAGCATGTACAACCATTTTAACAGATAATAAAAGCAATCAGTTCTGAACATCTTGATTTTTAGAAGTATAGATTTTTTCCAGCTGCAAAATCAGTTAAATTATTTCTTGAGAGACAAACACTATAGATAAGACAATGATGGATGGAAACCTGCAAAATCTTTGGCAAGCTGAAAGAAACCATCTTATCATGGAATAAATATGTATTTCCTAATTGCTTACACTGGACCAATGATGAAAAAGATATTTATTAATGAACCGTGGCAAACTGCTTATTCATCTCATTATCAAACAGTCTGATCCCTGGAACTATGATGCTTTACTGTTCCAACTCTACCAACAGCTTTCTTGAAGATGAAAGACATTACTTTGAACTAAGGCTTAATTACTGTTGCTCATTATTATTTATTGGGTTTCATTAATCTGTTTTACAGAACATATCAGAGGAATGCTATCAATCTGTGCTATGGAGCACTCTAAAAACATGGAATAATATAATATGAAGTACAGTTAAAAGGAGTGCATCTTCACTGACTCTGGACCACCCAGATGCAGCCTTCAGAGCCATCACAGTCTGTGCCCTTAGTAGAAGTAAGCAGAGGGACTCTTCCCTACCACTGAGGCCAAATTAAAAAGCACATCCCACCACAGTACTTCCATTACACACATACCTTCCAAAGAAGGGTGACTGCTTTCAAGTTGCCAGGACAGGGGAGTGTCTGGAATAGAGGCAGGAGGCACCAGATAACACCATGCCTGGTTTGCTCTAACTAGTGGCTTAGGTGAGGGAGTGCCAGTGCTCTGGATCAATCAGCTTTATTTATTGATACAAAAGGATCCAGAGCATCCAACAATTTGGTGGATTTTAGGGTGAGAACTGCAAATCTGGAAAATAATAGCCTGCTATTGAGTTAAGAATCACTCTGCTTTGTGTTTCACGCACTGGGGTATTCCTTCTCTATGAAACAGGGAATTATACCTGGTCCAGCTGGAGTCACAGGTCAATACTTTGGCTATTATAATATGCTTTCTGCTACTAAGCATGTTGTAAAACCACATCTTGTTGCATTTGACATTTTAGCTCCAAGAGAGATGCTATTCTGCCTCATCTGCTATTGCCCTTCAGCTCCATTCTGATTAATTCAAAACTAGTGATGAGGTAATAGCCAGGACAAAACACAACTGAGTTTCCAGAGCAGTTAAAAGCAGATGAAAGCAAGAAGAAATTTACAAGATCTCCTGAGAAGAGAGAGGTGTGAATTCCTCAGCATTTTTCTCTGTCTTTATTTCAGTATTACTACACAGCATGCTACTGTGAATTCTGATATCATTTTACAATCCTGGTATATAAAAACTTGTACCTAATAAGTGTACCTATTAAGTAACTAGGCACAATTGCCAGTGCAAAGAAATATTAGAATTGCACATTGCAATGCATTTTTAGATTGGACAAAAGAACACAAGGGAAAGTATACAACAAAATAAGATTTTAAGAAGACAAATTGAAAATAGAAGGATATGTAGTTGTTTAAAAAACATCAAAAAAGAGGCATATTTTAGGCAAAGGTGTATAATAGTAGCAGATTTTTTTTTTAAAAAAGTAAGAACTTTCATGAGGAAAGAGTAAAACTACAATGATCGGGATATTTAGGATACAGTAAGGGGGCATGAAAAAGGTTCAAATGATCGGGGTAGAGAATTGCTCTCTGAGTTCTCTGTCAACTACGTTTATAGGTAGCAGGGAGAAATGGGCATTTCCAGAGCAATACAAAGCAAGTATCTGCAATACGTCACATGAGTTGCTGAGGTAAAGCAGCATATGAGCATATGTCATATAAGTTGAGGTAAAGGAGGGACTATTCAGATATCTAGAAAGTTGGTTGACAAGATGAATCCTATCCATTTTTTTCTAAAAAAAAAATAGAAAGAATGACATGGCTGAGAAGCCCAATGAAGAGAAGAAAAGACTAAATCTTTGATATTCTGGACTGAAATGAAAGTGAATATGGATTGGGCAACAAGATAATTATGATGAGATGACTGGTACCAAAACTCCAGAGGTTTAAAAGAAACCACCACCACTAACAACAAAAAAGAGTTCAAAAATGATGAACAAGATGTTGAAATCCAGAAATAAAGAAATAAAATTGTTACTTGTTGAGAAATGTGAATATTAGAAAAAGAATTAAAATATGACCCATGGGGATTCCTTCTCCCTTTTCATTGATCTATGCTAGAACTATGTCAGGTTCTTTAAGAGGCCTTAATCTATTATAAAAACTCTCCAGTTATTGCAAAAGACATGAATTTATTGCAACTGAACTTAAGATGGAAAATTGGCATTCTTTATTAATATTAGGAAAGTTTTTACATAGCCAGTCTTTCTTATCAGTCTTTTATAATTTTATAACTCACATTATTACCTGGTGGTACAGGACAAAAGAATTGCAAAAGAATTGCAAAACACTTTTTCTGCTTTTTGTTTTTTGGTCTAATTTCATTCATATTCATGTGAATCAGTGTGTAGGTTTATGTCCCATAATACTTTATTCTTTTATGTTATATTACCTTCCATGATAAAAATCAGCTCTGTTCAATTTAAAGTTGTCTTAAAGTGCATTTTAAGTGTATTCAATTTAAAGTGCATTTTAAGGATCATAGTGGCCTTTAAACATTCTTATCAAAATCTTCAGCGTCAACAACATAGCCTTACCTCACAAATAACCTATTTCAAAGTGCTGCCAAAACAGTTTAGTAGTCAACACAAGCCTCTCTGACCAATTAAAAAATCTCCATTTATTATTGCCTTATTTTCCAAGCAAGAAAAGATCAAATGCCCTGAGGCATACTTCTTTTATCTCAGGTTACGATTCTGCCTTTCTTAAACCTAAGTCTTATCTACATGCAGATACAATGCAAAGGTCTCATGAACAAAAGCAAAGAATGAGGGTTTTTGCTCTTTTTTTTTTTTTTTTAGTTTTTAAGAAATATAATTTAAGAAACTAGAAATATCATGTTGAAAACAGTGAGAAAAGTGAAGGTCTGAGAAGTAGATTCAGAAATGAACTGGAAATATTCTAGTGGAGAGAAGACTAAAAATAATATACCTATTGTCATCTGATTAGTTGAAGAAAAATGGAATAAAATAATGAATAAAAACATCAGTGGAAAATGGAGAGTAGAGCTTTAAAACATATGTCTGATGAATGTGTGATGTCACCCTAGGAATAAATGATAACAATTCCTGATCCTTATTCAGAGGAAGTCAAATGCAAATCTATTATCTGAGCCATTTGTGAGAAAAGAGTTGGGTGATGATTGTTGTCTCATTAAGAGAAAAAGTTATGAATTGTAGGTGACCAAGAAAGATCAAACAGAAATGTAAATGGGGCTTCCTCAGTGTTTAACAGACTGTCTAATCTTGGCCAAATATGAGCCTCTCAATTCTGATGGTGAGAAAAGGTTAAATAATTTTATCCACTTCAGGAAAATAACTTCAAATCCTCTTCTGAAATGTCAGATGTGAATGTCAACTCTTGCTATTTTAAAATGTATGCCCCAATCTTTTCATTATGCTGCATTTCAGAGCAGCAGTAGGAAATGCAGGGGGTGGGGTAGCAAAGACCTTTAAAACAGCAATTACACTGAGGAATGGAGTCTAGATTATTCTTATGGGGGCTAATCCTCATATGTAAATGAACATTGGATCTGTTAATCTGACAAAACTATAAACAAAACCATTTTATAGTGCAAAGGGATAAGAAGATGTCAACTTCTGCAGAATTWGTGGCAGAAGAGAAAATCCATCCTATTTACTACTAGGCAGAGCAGATTTATTGCAATTAGGACAATAAATATGGAGTCCGATGATGTGTTTTAGTTAGTTTTCAGAGTTCTTGCCTTGAATAGGAACTTGTTTCCAAACTACGTGATGGATTATGTGTGAATCAGAGAGCATTTCACATCAATGGCTCATAATCAGTAAAGTAAAATTGTACGTAAGCAGACTCGGAAACAAATAGCGCTGAGTCCTATGCTCAGGTTTAACAAATGAATAAAGCCAGCAGGGTCTCCGTGTATACTGACGTATCCAATTTGATACATCATAAAACATACTATCCTTCAAAAACATAAAAAGAGCTACTTATTTGATAGCACAATTATTTGTATTTACAACCTTCCACCAAAACAGATATGTTGCTTTAAATTGCTTATCTTGTACTGTTACAAAACTTGGTACAAGGCTATGCTTATAGTCATGCCTTATAGTCATGCTATTTATCATAAAGAGAGCATTTTCATTGGATACACCAGATAATTTAAAAAGACTTTGCATATTCACATATACAGGAAAATAGCTCTCTTAAATGCATGAGATACACCAATCTGATTTAAATACCAGGCCTCAAGTAGACAACTTCGAGTTATTGTCATAGTTACTTCATTCTGAAATTACACTTTTTTGTGTAATTTGTTTTGGCCCACCAGCTGCTGCAAATAATACAATCTCTGTTTGCTTAACTGCTGTCTGTCAGAAACCTTTGATATTTCTTACCCTTGGAACAGTTGTCACACAGATGGATTTTTTTGAGGGAACTCTCATCTTTTTATTCAAGAGCATTGGTTAAAATGACTTCTTGGGTAGTAGTTTTAACTGCTTCACTGATTCACAGCAGGTAGAAAGCATTTAAGACCTGAGCTGCTAGGTGTGATTTGGTAAGCAAAGCTAGCAGGCATTTGAGAAAAACCTGTTGTGCAAGGTTTGTCAAACAAAGATGAAAGTTAAGTATCACAAGGTACTGACTGCATTTGGAATCCTCTCAGCCTCATCTAGGGTGCTCATGGGGAGCTCTCATAGGTAGCTGAAACAAAGGTGCCTCAGTAATGTTATGCTTGCATTACTTTTTTCTATGCATCTTTCTCTTATGTGTCGAAGTTCAATTGTTTACCAGAATACAGGCTATTTTAAGGGTGAGCAAAAAGGTATTTGGGTGCACCATCGCACATGTAGTAAAGTGCTAATAGCTGCAAAATCAAAAATAGTGCTTTATTAATCATGTTAATTATGTCATGCAAGCACTAATTTGAAGAGTAATAGAAGCACGGGTATCCCAGATATTGTCAGCATGAAATCTGATTACTGTAAGCAAAAGCTGTCTGGGACATGAAGGGATTATAAGACCTTCTAATTAATAATAATGCCTTCTAATTAATATTATTCTGAAGTGAGTAATTAGTTGTCTCCAATGCTTTGGAAGGATGCTTTTTTAATTGTTTTGTCACATGGCTACATGACTATTTATTCTCCAACCACTGTACAATAAGGTATCCTTGTGTGTAAAGGTGCTTCATCAGCTTTAAATGGCAGATCTCCCCACAGTTTTGTGGAGCTTCTAGCGAGGGTCCAGCAGAGGGCAACAAAGATGATTAAGGGAGTGGAACATATATCATAGGAGGAAAGACTAAGTGAGTTGGGCTTGTTTACCCTGGAGACAGTTGAGAGGGAATCTGATTAATATGTATAAATACCTGAAGGGTAAATGAAGGGAGGAAGGGGCCAAGCTCTTCTCAGTGGTGGCCAGTGATAGGACAACGGGCAATGGATACAAGCTGAAACACAGGCAGTTCCATCTCCATGTGAGGAGGAACTTCTTCCCTGTGAGGGTGACAGAGCCCTGGAACAGGCTGCCCAGGGAGGCTGTAGAGAAGGAGTTCTGTGGAGATCTCCCAAACTCCCCGGATGCCACCCTATGCCCCGTGCTCTGGGTGTCCCTGCTTTATCAGAGCGTTGGACTAAATGATCTCTAGAGGTCCCTTCCACCCTTAATGATTCTATAACTCTTGAGCCTCCCACTCTTTCAGGAAAGCAGATCTAAATTTCTATTCCTGAAAAAGTTTCCAACAGTGTATCCTCATGAATAGCCACCAAATGTTGGGATAAATTAGGCATATGTGTTGCTGTAGGTTTATGCTACATCCTAAGGAGCTGTGATTTGAGACCAGGGAGCTGTAATCAGCTACTTGATGGCTGCTGCTTCTTCTCTTCTGAGCCAGAAGGACTTGGGCAAAGAACCTTGTTCCATGTATGTAGGGTAGCTGGTAGCAGTGAAATACAACACTGATAGAAATGGCCAGTATAAATGAGCTTGTTATATTTATGTGGATGTGATGAGACCTCCATGACAGATGCTAAGAAATGCTTTCATAATCCTTTCAGATGTGCTTTCTTTACATTTGGGACCATTTTGTGACACAAATATTTCATTTTTGTGGGGGATTTCTATTAGAGGTTCCTGTTAAATACATGCAAAGTGTAATATGTTCCATGACTTCGGAAAGAACTAGTATTTTACTGGAAGAAATTTCAAACAGTGGAAATATAAAGCTATTCATAAAAAGCTCATTAAAACAGTGAGAGAATAAACATATCCATATCTTTAAGTTATGCATGTTGGGTGAAATTGTCTCAGCAGTAATAACTTCTCACTAAGAAATAGGCAAAGACCTAAACAAAATATAACGTTCTGCACATTAAATACTAGCAAGAACATGATAATATGCTGATTATTCAGGATCAGATAACAAGCTGATTATTCAGGATCAGATAACAAACTATTGCCTGAAGCTAGACAAAAAAAGATATAATTCCAGTCCACAGCGTACATTTATCCTGGTTTAGCATCTCTTTGTAGATGCAGAAGAGTCAATAATCACATATTTCTATATATTTGAACTGGTAAGCCTCAGAGACTATAAAATATAAAGAGAAGTTTAAAGAAGCATTATCTAAGTTATGTTTAATACTTATCTGAAAATAAATTACCTTTGAAAATGCAACAATTTTCAAGGAGATTGTTGCTAAGTATAAGGAGTTCATTACAAAGTCCATGAGGTTCCACCAATCATGAATGTAGTCCTGAAGTCCACCATCCCACATCTGTTTAATTTCACCCCAGATAAAACCTGCAAATAGAATATAATTCATTAAGCATGAATGTTAACAACAGCATAAAAAGTCTWTAACTATCCTAAACATTATCTCACAATTGATTTGGTTTCTTTACATTAACTATAAAGGGAAGACACATGAGTGGTCCAAGTTGCACTTAGGTGAAAGCTTACTTTTCTATTAATATTTCCAAGCTAAGTTGTCAGTCTTCTGCACATGTAGGGGCTATTTGTTTGGCTTCCTTTGATCTTTTTCACATCCTAATAAGTATAAAAAGGGTCTCCAAACCATTCAGCACTGCCAACTTAGCCTTTGGATTTCTGCTCCAGTGTAATTCAAGCTGAAATCTTCATGACTGCAGGAATCAAGCCAACTCATCATTTGTTTCAATTGGAACCAGCAGTTAGGATGAGAATTTCTATCATCAATTTAAAGCTAAAATCTCCTTTCTCATAGGAAAGGCCAGTGTCTTCAGCAAAATATTTTTGATCATTCCTTTCCTTTGGGTCCTGGAAGAATTGAACCTGTTTTCAGGTGTGCAGAGCACATATTGCGCTGGACAGAAAGTGGTATAGGAATATTCAGCCTCGGTTGGAAATACTGCAAGTTGTCTGACATGAGCTCAGTTTAGCAGCTCCTGAGACAATTGTGTGGAGACTCTTTTTATGCTCTGAACAGGACAGGTCACATTATTGTATAATATGGAATATAAAAACACACAAACAACAATGGAACATTTAGATACACTCTGTGTTTGTGTGTGTATAAATATATATACATATACACATACAGAGTTTTCTTAGTTAGCAATGCCAATGGCACTCTTACATTTTTCACAGTTACTTTTAAAAATTTCTTTCTTTTTACTCAAAATAGATGCAACATTTATGGCAAAAGAGATCACTTCTCACCTCTGAAGGCTGAAAARCAATTCAACATGACTTTTCATCACTTGGTTATCATATATTGCTTTAAGAAACATTTACCAGATTTCATACAAGGGCTTATATAGTTCTGTATTGCTATATTGTGGGCTTAGCTTTGAACTGTTACATTTTCACCTCATTATCTTTTAATCGATAGCATAGAAAACTTGCATGTAATCTCAGATATGATCTCTAAAAGGAAATTTCTTTTGTATTTTCGTTTGTGTCAGGTAATATTTGCAGAGGAAGAGGGAKAGGTAAAGTGGAAGGAGTACAGTTTCATTTTGTAGTGTTTTGGCTCACGTCCTGGCTGAAATGAAAGATTCCTTTCCTTACTACCTTGCCCCTGCAGATCTCAGCCACATTTCCACCTTGCTCCTATGTGTTAGCATCAGTAATTATGAGCTTCAGGAGTATCTGAATCATCCAGCTGTTCCAGCACATTATGTTTTAGTAGGGTTCATTTTCAGCTACAAGGACATGCAATTTTTCAGCTGCCTGTAAAGCTGRAGAAACAAATTCTGAAAAGGAGCACGGTGGGAACACATTGAGTAGAAAGTGGGAAAAACCCATTCTGATGTCCAYGTTAGGCTGATTGCAGCTCTACCTTTAAATCAGATCAAACTGGTCAGATAAAACTGATTCACCAAATATAGCACTTTTAAGAGGAAAAAAAAAATTATTTTCCAGCTGCAATCAAGTGTGATGATTCAAAGTAWGAAAAGAACAGAATAGGATTGCATGGTAGGAGCCAATATGCAGTAACACAGTGTCTACTGTTGCTGTTAAACTGCCTAAGTGCCATCATAAAGGGAATACCCATTTGCAGGACCACTCAGTAGGGAGGCTTCTAAATGCCTGACAGTTTTAGCCTTGCATGCAAGAATTAATCATCTACTCTTCAAAGAGCCGATCATTACCAACACATASTATGGACAAGACTAGAGCAGATCTCACAGATTCACAGAATTCACAGAATATTTAAGGCTGGAAGGGACCTCTAGAGATCATCTAGTCCAACCTTCCCGCTCAAGCAGGCACACCTACAGCATGTGGCACAGGGTGGCATCCAGGCGGGTTTTGAAGACCTCCAGAGTAGGAGACTCCACAACCTCCCTGGGCAGCCTGTTCCACTGCTCTGTCACCCTAACAGTAAAGAAGTTGCTCCTCACCTGGAGACGGAACTTCTTATGCTTCAGCTTGTGGCCATTACCCCTCGTCCTATCGCTGGCCACCAGTGAGAACAGCTTGTCCCCTTCCTCCCTGCATTCTCCCTTCCTGAACTTATACATATTAATCATATCCCCTCTGAGCCGTCTCTTCTCCAGAGAAAACAGGCCCAGCTCACTCAGCCTCTCTTCATACGAGAGATGTTCCATTCCCTTAATCATCCTGGTTGCCCTTCTCTGGACCCTCTCYAGAAGCTCCACGTCCYTCCTATACTGGGGWGCCCAGAACTGCMCMCARTACTCCAGGTGCGGCCTCACCAGAGCTGAGYAGAGGGGCAGAATCACCTCCCTTGACCTGCTGGCAACACTCCTCCTGATGCAGGCCAGGATCCCATTGGCCTTCTTGGCCACGAGGGCACACTGCTCACTCATGGTTAACTTAGTGTCAACCAGGACTCCCAGGTCCCTCTCCGTGGAGGTGCTYTCCAGCAGGTCSACCCCTRATCTGTACTGATGCCTGGGGTTATTCCTCCCCAGGKGYMRGACCCTGCACTTGTCCTTATTGAACCTCATGAGGTTCCTCTCTGCCCARCTCTCCAGCCTGTCCAGGTCCCTCTGGATGGCAGCACAGCCCTCCGGAGTGTCGGCCACTCCACCCAGCTTGGTGTCATCTGCAAACTTGCTAAGGGTGCACTCAGTGCCCTCGTCCAGGTCATTGATAAACAAGTTGAACAGCACTGGGCCCAGCACTGACCCCTGGGGGACACCACTGGCCACAGGCCGCCAACTGGACTCGGCCCCATTTATCACCACCCTCTGAGCTCTGCCATCCAGCCAGCCCTCGATCCACCGCACTGTGTACTCGTCTAGTCCACTGTTCCGGAGCTTCCGTATGAGGATGTTATGGGAGACAGTGTCAAAAGCCTTGCTGAAAAGGCTTTTGACACTGTCTGATTCCCTCTCCCTCCTTCAGCCTTCGATGAGCAGGTCATAGACCTGTAAATATGATCTTTTGCTGCACCATTAAAAAATATCCATTCTGTAGGCTGCAATATACTCAATATGTTTCAGACACTGCTCTGAACTACTCCAGCTCAAATCACAGAATAACATACAAAAATAAGCATTATATCACAGTACCCAGAGAGGTGACTTTGAGGAAGCCCAGGGCCAAAGAGCCTAATGGTCCCTAAGCCTCTGTGTTAGAGGCATTTCTGTTTTATTTAATTATATTTTTATTTAATCTTGTTTAATGCATATTTAATATTGCATATATATTTATTTAATATTGCATATTTAGCACTAGGATCTTGGCTCTTGGATGATGACTTTGGCTCAGAAAGCAGAATGTCACTCTCATAGAAAAATTCCCTACTTTAGAAAATAAGAATCCCTGTACACTAAACTGTCTTCTCATTCATCACAGTTAAGCATTCCAATAAAATATGCTTTAAAAATAGAGCAAAAATRAGTGAGGTGATTAATAATACAAATAATTAAGAGAAAAGAGTAACTTCAGGAAATTCTTCTACTGAGATACTCCCATGATTCACAAACTGCCAAAACAGGAACTGACACAACACAGCAGAGCTGTTTTCTCTGTAATGTTGCTCAGCATCATACACTTTGATAGCACCAACTAAAATATAATAGAATTATGTACAGACTAAAAGATAGATGCTTACTAATGCTTCTACATTTGGTCTGGTTTCTACATCAAAAGCCAGACTGWTGTTTCCAGCACTTCCTGGGCTTCAGAAAATGAAAATATAATTGCAGAAGTTGACATCAACAGATAAATACTGACCTATTACATTCCCGTGGAAGACAATATATGGCTGTTGTAAATCTGATAATCATAAATGAGGAACAATTAAACCACACTATCAGTAATGCCAAAATCATCTGGAAATTGGAAGTTCTCAAAGTACGCTTTGATATCTTAATACTGTTGGGTCTCATTTTTTTTATTCTGTCTCAAGAAAATTTTCAGTTTTGTTTTATCAGAGAATTTCTTCTTTTTAACCAAACAATTACTGAAAACTGGAAATCCTACATTTTTGTTGACCATACTAGAAAGCTGACAGTTTAGTTTTTCTTGCCTGCCAAACCATCTAAGTGAAAACTCAAGAGAGAGGCTGGACTCCATAGTACTCCAGAGAACCTGAAGCTGGGCATAATTTGTTTCACTGACTAGTGTAGAAGATTTCTTCCGTTAAGTCTTAATTTTTCATTTCAACAGCTAATACATAGCAAATTCTGTAGATAGGTCATGCAGCAATGCAGTTAATGATGGGATTTCTCTTACCTACTTTTAGTTGTTTGCAATGCAAACAGCTCCATCTGAACTACTCATCCTAGATTGCCCTTTGAGTCAATGGAGAGAGAGAATCAATTATAGAGACTGTCTCAGAAGTAGAGTATGCACTACAGATGTCTACATTTGGTCAGATGAGTCCCAGTCTTGATGTCTGCTCCTTATGCAGGTTAATGAAAGGGCAAATAGAAACTCTTCAGTGAAGCAGAGCTTCATTTAAAAAGTRTTAGTTCACAGAACTCAGTGAGCTTTTAATGAATCCAATACATGAAGCATACTTCTGGAGATTCCCTTGTTTTTAGATAACCTTGTCAGGTGTCTTGATCAAACTTTGRAAAATTCAAGTCTTCACCCCTGGGTAGGAAATCTATGAGCATACTCCTCTTGAAAACTTTCATTACTTTGTGGATGGGAAGTTCTAACCTTGGTTTTAAAGACTCTCAAGGACCCTGCTACTGAGATAGCATTTGGAGCCAGTTTCCGTATCTGCTGATGCTCCTGCTTTGGGTGTCAGCTGATTTGATTTGAGATTTATGTCCCAGAGGAATGGATATTRTATTTATGATGGATACTCAATTCATTCATGCCTAGCAGAACTTTCC